AATACCGGGTATTACCAATAAATAAGATATAGGTGGAAAATTTTCATGGTTAATTTAATATCAACGGGCCTTAAAAAGGCCAAGTGGTGGAAGGAGTATTGGGCCACAAGGACCCATGTAGGGGTGTCTCCCCCTTTCCAACTATGGGGAGGTCGAATTGGACAAGGGGGGAGGAACCCTCCTCCCCTAGGGCCGGAGCAAGGGGAGGGGATTCCTTCCCCTTGTGTGGCGCCTCCTCCTCCCCTTTGTGTACTAGAGGCTTTTGCACTATTTATACATACAAGTTTTGGAGCCTCCTCTAGTTCTCTAGTTCTAGTTGGTCCTAGTTGATCAATTAGAGCATGACCTAGATCCTCTAATCCTCATAATTATAAGCCCAATGTGGTTCTAATATCCTCCCTCTAATTCTCCGGTGACGATTAGCTCTAGATGGCGAAGCGCTGCTGGATCGTGAAGACCGTACGCTTGCAACCAAATAGAGGGGGCGTGCTTTTGATCTTCCGTTCAAGGGATCGTTCATGAGTGGTTTGCGGGATCGTTCATCTACGGTTCGAGGGACTCCAACTAAGATCCACACCGACTCATCTACTTCCGTTGTTACTCGAAGTCGGTAACGATCGTGATCCAAACCATTTATGCATCTTCATATTGTTCCTGGGGTGATCGTAGGGTGTTTTTTTTGTTTTCTACTATGTTTCCCGACAAAGTGATCTCAATAGATTGCCCCATTGTCACCACGGGCATCCACAAGGAACACAGTCATCTCAAATCCAAAGTATTCAATCCAACATACAAAACTTCAAAGAGCAAGACTCAATTCATCACAACAAAGGTAGAGAGGGAGGAACACCATATCATCCAACTATATTAACAAAACTCATGGTACATCAAGATCGTGCCCTATTAATATCATGCGCGAGAGAGATCAAACACATAGCTACTGGTACATACCCTTAGCCCCGAGGGTGAACTACCCCCTCCTCGTCATGGAGGCGGCGAGGATGATGAAGATGGCCTCCAGTGATGACTTCCCTCCTCTAGCAAGGTGCCAGAATAGAGCTCCGATTGAGATCGCTTTGGAATAGAGGCTTGCGGCGGCGGAAAAATTCAACTAGGTTAACTTTCGGAGGTTTATGAATATATAGGATTTTTCAACATTGGAATCATGTCAGGAGGGGTCACAAGGGGCCCACAAGGCACTTGGGCGCGCGCCTGCCTTGTGGAGCTCTTGTGGGTCTTCTGGTGCTCCCCCGAAGCTTCTTGGGTCTCTTTCCTTCTAGGAAAAGTTGTCAAAAAGTTTCGTCGTGTTTGGACTTCTTTTAGTATGGATTTTCTGGAAAATAAAAAACAAGCAAAAAACAACAACTGGCACTGGGCACTAGATTAATATGTTAGTCCATAAAAACAATATGAAAGTGCACCAAAACCACATAAAATTATTTTAAACATGGCATGAATACTTCATAAATTATAGATACGTTGGAGACGTATCACCAAGTTGTATCTGTGATGAGATGGAGGTAAAGATAATACAAAATCAATATTATGTCATTTTGCTTATTGCAATGCTTTGTTTTCCTTAATACTTTAATATATACGCTGGATAACGGTTTTGGGGTGGATTATTAGTTATAGATGCAGTTCGATAGAGGTCTATGGATATAAGGAAATAATGCCTATAAACAACCATGATATATATAATCATAATCATAAAAAATGCAATTGAATGGATACATGATCGTAATTTGTTCACAACGCCTATGATATGTTCATTTATTCATTTGAGAGATGCCTCTTGTGGAACTATAGATCCCAGTCCATTTATTTCTCATATTTAAAACCTCGATCAAACCCTTTTACTACTCTTTACAATCTAAACCCTTTTTTTACTTGCTTACAATCATCAATTCCTACCATATGATATACTTATCCATGTAACTAGAAAGCTAGTGAGATTGACACCCTCACTAGACAAGTTGGGGACCAAGAAAAAGTTCCTAATTATATACAGATATTGAAATTACGTTTTAAGCACACCCCACAGATTGATAACATTGATTATTCACAGAGGAAATTTGTTGCTTACTACAAACCCTTATTCTTGAGGGCCCAACAATCCCCTATAAGGATAACTGAAGCACCTACTTGTCCCCAAACTTGCGAAATCAACTATAAACAAATTATCACTTACAGAACTGGCCGTGAGGCCATGGGATTGCTCCATGCTAGCTGCACTACCCCCTGCCCCAATTATCGTTTGCAGTTGCGACACCAAGGGCACAACACCTTCCTAGTCACTAAGACCTTCATTAGAGCCTTGTGGTCCTCTTCGTCATTAGACATCGCCATCTTCCAGTCCTCATCAGCCACAAGATTCATGCGCGTCCTATCCGCCACAACAACTTTCACTTGTTTTTTGTTGTCCGAGATCTGATGATCTCTCGTCATCGACTCTAACCTCCAGACCTTTGAGCTGCGCAACAATGTCACACAAAGAGGCTCGGATTCACCACCCCAATCCCCACACGAGAAATTGACCAAGAACTAGTAGATCCGCAAAGGGTACCGATGGTCGCCCCTAAATCGAGACCCTCACCGAAGTAAATGATACTAAAAATCAAAGCAACACCATTGGCAAACACAGTACAAGAATAGCACATGAGCAGAGTGAATCGTTGTAGAATACGACCTCAAAAGGGTACACCCAACTCTCTTTTATGACTAGCACAACTACTACTTGAAAGCCCGGGAAATGTTAGATAGAAGGTGAGCAGAGGCGGTAGAAGCCATAGTTGGGAGGCCCGTCAGTGGGTTGACGATGCTCCCCCTTGAATTTCATGGGAGCGAGACCTAAGAGCAACTCCAATGGGACAACCCATTTCGTCCGTCGTCGTCCGTTTAGGTCGGCGCGGACAAAAGAGACGGCCCAACGCGCCGAACCATCCCAAATCGCGTCCGCTCCGCATCCACGCCGACGCATTTGAGGCCTAAATTTGCGTATCAGATGCGTCGGCGTGGACGTGAAACGGACGCCTTGCGCGCCTTCTCGTTGTTTGCCGTGTCCCCACCTGGTGACCGTCCAACTTCGACGGTCAACATTATTTATGATGAACACCCACCTTGGGCCCACGCGTCAGTGACGGCGGTCGTCCTTTTTTAAGCCGGGCGTGCGGCGGGGCCGTCCTCATCCACTGCCACTCGCCCCCGTCCCAATCTGGCCACCCCTGCCCCACGCCGGCGACAACCCTAGCCACCACCAACATGGGCTTCTTCTCCGGCATCGGCAGCAGCGGCACGGGCAAGGCCCCCGCCCGCCATTCCCCCTTCCTCCCCCGCCCTCCCCGCGTTGTCGCGCTCTTCCCGGCAGAGGCAGCGCATCAATGTGCCGGTGCACCAGGCCGAGTGGCACTGGCAGCACCGCGTGCCTCTGCCGTACCCCGATGTGACGCTGCTGCATGACTGGCATTAGGATCCGGAGAGGATCCCAGTGCCGGCGGCGCCGCGGACGGCGAGGGCCCATGCGGAGGAGGTGCGGCGCCGGCGGGCGTTGCTGACGCCGGAGCAGCGCGCCTTACCGCACTACGTTGTCGACTCGCCCTACTGGGCTCGATGGTTCACCTTCGAGCACGAGGAGGCGAGGTGACGCGGCGTCCGCGGCGTCGACCGCAGCCTGCCGCCGCCCCCGCTCGTCGTCCGCGACGAGGACCAGGAGGTCGAGGCCGCCTACCAGGCAGCCATTAAGGAGAGCGAGGAGGAGGAGCGGTGGAGGGAGGCGGATGAGGCGGCTTTCCAGGCTGCCATGGCGGAGGCCATGGCCCTCTCCGCGGCGGGTGACTGCGTCGTGTCGCCGGTGACCCCGCCGTCCCCGCCCAAAGCCGAGCCGGAGGAGCCGGCCCCCCTCGAGCGCTACTCCTGAACCAGAATAGTGCACGAGTGGGTCAGCGCTCCGTCGATCTGGCTCGGGGCGACGGAGAAGCAGGAGGCGGCCTACCTCGACCACTGGCGTCGTTTTCGGCTGACCGAGGAGCGCCGGAGGGCGAGCGCCTGCAGATGCTCGAGCGCGAGGCCGAAGAGGAGGCGCGGCAGGCCCAGGCAGCGGCGGCGCAACCCAACATCGCCGCGCTCTGAAACACGACGTTCCCCTGGGCTGACCCTGCGCCGACGTTGATCGACCTCACCGCCCGACGCAGACGCCGACGAGGACGCCTAGGGCTGCGCGTCGTCTAATTTTTAGTTTTTTTTATGTTAATTAATGTAATGTGGACTTTCGCCGGCCTTCGTGGCCGGCTTTTATGTTTAACTAAATGCATGTTAAAAATTTTTTGGCACGCCGACAAAATGGGTCGGGCCAGCGTTGGGCGCTCGCGCCGATTTAAATACAGTGACGGGCATTTGTGTCCGTCAGACCGACCCAAATGAAAAAAAGTGGACAAAAGCGCCGTCCGTTTGGGTCGGCCCGTTGGGGTTGCTCTAAAACCATGTAAGTTTCATTTGTCATAGTGTCCACATTGGGAAAACTGGATTATGCACCCTATTAATTGATGTACTCGTAGGACCTAACTCTCATTAAAAATCAGAAATTTTTCACTGTACATATATAGATAAATTAATTAAGCAAAAGGAGGGAAACGAAATCCATACCAACCAGCTCGTGGTGACAGGCCTTGCCTAACCAGAACCGAAAAAGCTGCAGGGACGAAAGAGAAAAGGTCCCCTCGCCCCAAGTCACGGCCCGCTTTCCCCTTCCTACCCGTTCCCTTGGTTTCCACTCCAAATTCAAACTTGGGGCTGAAAGCTTGACGTCAGTCGAAATCTGGGGTGCAAACCGCAAATCCACTCCTCTCCGTCCGAAACGAGAGGCCTTTACTCTACTCCCCTCTACGACTCGCTCCGCCTCCCGTTGTCCCCTGCTCCGCTCCGCTCCTCCCCATTTCCTGCCTTCGTTGCTCCCCAGTCCACAGGGCAGCACCGGAAGCCCGAACCCCACCGCGCCGGTGACCATGAACGCGGGCGGGCGCCGGCGCTACACCTCGGAGCAGCTCCTCTTCGACGTCCCCGCCAATGCCGCAACGGCGGGCGGTGCCGGCAGGTGGACCCAGGTACGGCTAACGATTCCTCGAGATCTGCGTGCAGCACGTTATCTCCGGTTAGCTCATGAGTCTGGATTTGGGGTGATTTTGCGTGCAGCGCGGCGGGTTGCGCCGCGGGGACGGGGAGATCTTCGTGTCGGTGGACCCGGCGACGCCGGCACGGCTGCGCGGAGGGGACGCGGCGGCTGGGGAGTCTCCGGGGCAGAGGCACCAGCTCAGCCCCGGGCTGCTCGACCTCCACGCCTTTGATACCGAGCTTATCCCCGATGTAAGACGAGAGCTGCAGTTTTTATGAGTACTGCTTCTGTTCCGATGATCCCGTGTGGCTGCGTTAGATTATAATATTCTTGATTGTAGGAAGTGTTATTGATCTGACGTTCTGAATCCAGTTGTCGAGGCATGGCCACATGGGTCCTCAGAAGTTTTTTAATTTTCTTTGGATCATCGGTGTATGGAAAGCAAACGAAGAACTGTTTCGTTTTTGTTTTGGCATCAGTCTTGTTTTAGGCGAATTTCAGTTACTTGTGCGAAATTAAATATTTGCTACAGCTTTAGGTAGCTGGTGAGACGTGGCACTGCATCCGTAGGTGTTTTTGTTGGGTCTCATTTTGGTCATGTTCTTGCCAATGCTGCCCACGCCATGTACTCTGCTTGCAAATATGTGCTTTGGCATCGATGTTAATGAATTTATGGCTGTGTTCAACAGAGGATGCAAATGCCGGGAGGTTTTGACCTTCCTTTTCAGGAAAAGAAAATCCGTACTGTATGGTTCGATATAAGCTATTGATTTGTGTAAGTTAGTTCTTTAGATTAGATGGTATGCTAATGAAGGATCGCTGGTAAACCAAATATTTAATGTTGTAGCAATGGGACATATATTATTGCCCATATTGTAAATTCTATGTTAAATGTAATTCATGTTTATATACAGTTTCAAGTACAAGGAATGTATGATGGTGCTGAAAAGTTTGGTTATGCCAATGGAGAAGGCTTTGATGATTCGGATATGAGCTTTGGTACAGACAAGAAGATGAGCAAGTCCGCTGTTTTTGCTGAAAGTAACTACCTCAAGGCCTTCCCTGAGAAAGAGAAGGCAGCCCCTGTTGCTAAAATCAAAGTGGTGGTATGTTTCTTTGTCTTGCTCCATGATTGAATATTTCTCAAGGGCTCATACAAAGCTATGAGGACATCACTTTTTATAGCTTTGATGTGTAATGTTAAATGCAGGTGCGCAAAAGACCTCTGAACAAGAAGGAGATATCAAAGAAAGAAGAAGATATCATAGACATTGAACAAAATTCTTTGACTGTCCATGAGACTAAACTTAAGGTTCATGCCAAGCTTGTTATCTCCATATGATCATAACTTGCTACTGGAAGTCTATTCTCATTGCTTGATACCTGGCACATAATTCTGCAGGTTGACCTCACTGAGTATGTCGAAAAGCATGGATTTGTGTTCGACGCTGTTTTGGATGAGGACGTTTCAAATGATGAGGTGATCAGTTATCCGCGCACTCGATATAATTACAGTATTAGGTATTATAAATTTATTCTCAGCAACCTGGAGCCATTCTATTTACAGGTTTATCGTGAAACAGTGGAACCAGTGGTTCCTGCTATTTTTAATCGTACAAAGGCAACTTGTTTTGCATATGGACAAACCGGTATAGCTCCAACATCCTCTAGATGCATGTCTAAAATTGCAGCAGACTAAAGACAACTCCTAACTTACATTGTCCATGCAGGTAGTGGAAAAACCTACACCATGAGACCACTTCCTCTAAAGGCCTCCCAAGACATTTTGAGACTAATGCACCATACATATCGTAATCAGGGGTTTCAGTTATTTTTTAGTTTCTTTGAGATCTATGGAGGGAAATTATATGATCTGCTTAATGAAAGGAGGTACATTATACCTAAATCTGTTATGTTTATAAATAAAGTCTATGCAGAAAGCCAATTATGTTTCAGTTCTGAACAATGATTACCTCATGTAGTAAACTTTGCATGAGAGAAGATGGAAAACAGAAAGTTTGCATTGTTGGTTTACAAGAGTACAGGGTGTCTGATCTTGAAACTATCAAGGAGTTGATTGAGAGAGGTAATGCCACCAGAAGTACTGGTACAACTGGTGCAAACGAGGAGTCATCACGATCTCATGCCATTCTTCAGCTTGCTATCAAACGGCGTGTTGATGGCAATGAGTCTAAACCACCCAGATTGGCCGGCAAGTTGTCGTTTATTGACCTGGCTGGCAGTGAGCGTGGTGCTGATACAAATGAAAATGATAAACAAACAAGGTTATCTTACAAAACTTTCTATGTAAGGAATATACACTATGTATTTTGCTAACACTGAAATGCTTTAAAAAAATATTATGCAGAATTGAGGGCGCTGAGATCAATAAAAGTTTACTTGCTTTAAAGGAATGCATCAGAGCACTTGATAATGATCAGAATCATATTCCCTTCCGTGGTAGCAAGTTGACTGAAGTTTTACGAGATTCATTCATTGGAGACTCACGCACTGTCATGATTTCATGCATTTCCCCTAGTTCTGGCTCTTGTGAACATACACTGAACACATTGAGATATGCTGATAGGTAATTATCTTTATTCATTCTTTATGTTGCAGTAGCTGCTTTTTCTCCATGTAACACATGTAACATATTCTCATCTTCAGAGTGAAGAGTCTGTCGAAAGGAAGTAACAGCAAGAAAGATGTGCCTTTGGCCGCTGCACCTTTACGAGAGTCGAGTCCTTCACCATTGGCTTCGGTTGTACCCTCTTTCTCTGCAGCTGAGGTAATGAATGATATCACTGAAAGGGGTAAGTTTGGTTGGCCCAAGCAGCAGTATGCCAAAGAACAGCCATCACCATCGTTTGTGGATAGAATGCCCAAGGGTAGGGAAGACACTGAGTTCAGTTCGGCGAATAGTGGTTATTTCAATGAACAAAGAAGCAGAGGCATTGCGGCAGCAGGTATAGCCGTGGTACCAGATACAATGTACCAGCAAGGAAGGCAACATGCACGGAAGGGTAGAGATCCAGCTTTGGAGAATAATATGAGAAATTCTGTTGCTTACCCAATTAGAAGGGCTGTGCCAGACGAAGATGACCATCTGAATGACCTCCTTCAGGTACAGTATTATTGCTTCTGCACCATTTTGTTGATAGAATATGACCACGGTTAGGTTTTGATGTTTGTTAACTGGTGCAGGACGAGGAAGATTTAGTGAGTGCTCACAGAAAGCAGGTGGAAGAGACCCTGGATATCATTAAAGAGGTTAGTCGCCTAAAATGGTAAACTGACTCACTGTCATTGGTCGTCATATTATTTTGCCGTAACCTGTGAATGGCCTCTTGTTTCATCAGGAGATGAACTTACTAGATGAAGCAGATCAGCCTGGCAACCAACTGGACGACTACGTTACAAGACTAAGCGGTATCCTCTCACAGAAAGCTGCTGGAATTGTGGATTTACAGGATCGTCTGGCACAGTTCCAGAGGCGCTTAAACGAGAATAGCGTGCTGCTATATTCCGAGTGCCCTTGATCACAAGAGCGGCCTATTCGTCGCTACTCTGTCTCCGAGGGTAATGAGGAAGTTGGGGACAGAGGCAGCAGAGTCGATCTGCCCCCATGAGCTCTGCCCCGATGCGGTCTCGCCTTTGCGAACGCTGGTGCGCCGATGCAGTTCTGAACCCATAGATGCGGCAAATGCAGAACTAGGTGGCTAGTTGACTGCTGCTTGCCGTGGCCGACTCCGTAGCATATTTGGGGCCAGTTCTTTTGGGCGATTCTATCAGAATCGCCCCCCTCCCCAGTTTCTCTCGGAATCACTACTTCATATATTTTTTACAATCCTAACTAATTAGACCTTAACTAGATAGGATTGTAAACAAAATATGGAGTGGCGATTCTGGAAAAAGCTGGGAAGGAGGGTGATTCTGGGAGAATCGCCGAAAAGAACTGGCCCAGTCGTTCCATTGTGTGCATGTGCTTTGTACTTCCGTTCAATCCATATGTATGTATATCCGCGTCACATGAGTACCCTGCTATTTGTTCATCAACAAATATGCTGTTTTTTACTATGGTGCATGAAGATTCCGGTATGTCGCTGCATGGCAATTTTTTTCAAACACACATACCTTATTTCTGTGGTTACGAAAGTTGCAAATATATGTTTTGAATATTTTAAATTTTTACTATCAACTTAATATGGACTGAAAAAAATGAACAAAAACGTGTCTCATACATCCGTTTCTGAAAAACTCTCTCCAATCTATATTAATTGATGCACACTCAGTATAATTTGAAGATCTTATATTTGTGAATGGAGGGGTACCTAAACCACATGAAAGGTTTCATCTTATGTTAGTTTTTCTCCCAACCTTTCTTTCGTCATCCTCACCGCCATCGATCGTTGTTCGCTTAGGGTGTCTCCAATAGCATACATCAAAAAGGACAATCTGAATCGTCCACGCCTCCATGGACACGTCCCGACGTGACTGCGGACAACGGATAGAGGGCTGACATCCAATTTGGTGCACCAAATGTCCATCTCTTGTACAATAGAGAGAGGAGAGAAAAGGGAGGAGGATGAAAAGCTGGGTTCACTATGGGTCCAAGGCTTGTCCATAGTGTGTCCGGGCTCCTTAAGCCACTTCTATGTTTGCTATCGGTTTAGCAGAATTCGGACACCTTGCCTGCTCCGCGAAAGTTTGATGTGCCTATACCTGGCCATGGGCTGCCCGGCCCGGTCGGCCCGACCTAACCCGGCCCGGCCCGACCTTGTCCATGGGCCGGGCCTGGGCCTAGGTTTTGAGCCCGAACGCTAGGTCGGGCCGGGGCCGGGCCAGTCATATGTGTTGTTTAATGAAGAGGCCCGGCCCGAGGCCCGGTCGGCTTTTGCAGTGACGGGCCAGGCTCGGGCCTGGTTTTTTTGCTTTGGGCTTGGTCAGGCCTGATCCGAAGCTCGGCCCGACTCAGGGGATGGCTAGGTATAGATGTGCCCCATTAAATGACTAAAAGTGTCTGAATCGTCCGATCCGGACATTTAGAAGCGATTTGATGTACACCTGTGGAGATGCCCTTAGGCCCTGCACCGCATCCCCTCGCCCGCGTGAAAATATCGGGTGAACCGAATGACTAATCCGCACCACTCCTCACGACCTCCCATAGAAAAATAGGCTGGGTTGCCCACCTCAGCCGCCACGCTGTTGCCCCACACATCACCAACCATGATCGCTCCCTCCCTATGCAAATGGGGGTAGCATCGCCATAGCCTCCGACACCCGCGTGTGGCTGTTGACGACTCTTCTGCCAACCCCATCGCCCCCGCTCGCCTTCTCCCCTACCGCGGTTGCCTCACCCTAGCTCGTGGGCGCCACGTTAATTGTTTATGCTTACGAGATCACATCCGGCTGTATTTAGTGCCACTCCACCTTTTTCCAATTTTGATCTTTTATGCTTGTGAGATCACATCCAATTGTATTTAGTGCCACTACATCTTCTTTTGGCTCTTCTATGCTTGTCGTGGGATCACATCCAGCTACTGCGGTCCAAACAATGAATTATTACATCATCAGTATAATATGAATGGGTTGCTTTGCTTTAGATTCTATCGTATTGCTTTCTTTTGACTATTGAGAAACACAAAAGAGTTGAATGTGATTCTGATGTACGCATGCAGATGTGCTACTATGTAGCAGCATCATTCTCTCTAAATTTCTTCGAGACTAATTCGTGTGTTTTGAACTCTTGATGTGTGCAAACCTACCTTAGCGACAAGTTGACATCCGGTGAGCCAAGGCATGGTTCTTTTTTTCTTTTGCGTGCTTAGCATTTTAGGGTACTTGTTCATACCTATGCTTAACGGGAAGCAACAAGCACTAACACTATGCGTCGGCTTGAGGAAACTTGGAGCATCAACATGGTTACATCAAGGGAGAGAGACGGTGGGGGGTGTAACACCCCCAGTGTCATGCTACAACGACTTTACCCTAATGGTGCCATGTCATCATGTTTAACTAAGCCAAATTGCCACTTGATAAAAATCAAAGCCATTTTCATATATAAATTATTTTCCAAATAAAATATTCTACAAACTGAAAAAACTAAAATGTTCGAGATGTTGCAAGTATTCACTAAGTAATTTTCGTGTAGAAGCCAGCATCTTTTGAATTTTTAAAATGGCCTTAACCTATTTAAAACAGGGCTAGCGGCATTAAATATACGCACATAAATTCAAAACTGAATTTGAACAATTCCTTTTGGCCCCAAATTTTTTGTGCCAGACTAGAAAGTAGCCAAGTATTTTTGTGTTAAATATCGCATCTAACAAAGTTCAAATGATGACCAAATTAATTGCAAAGCAATAGCTTTTTAAATTACAGATAGATTAAAGAGAAAAGCACATATTGTACACCTAAAGCCTAGTGCTACAGTGTGAAGCCCAACACTTAACTGTATCAGGCCCAGCCCACCTGGCCGGCCTTTTCCCCTACCTCTGGACAAAGGCAGAGGCCATGGCACCGAGCACGCGCGCACGCCGTCCAGGCCATAGATGACCACCTGTCGACCATCCACCGATGCCCCGATATGGATAAGCACACCCCTGACCCCCTTGACAAACCCCAGCCCTCATTTTCCCCTCGTCCGCTCGCTCTCGTCAAAATAGTCCTCGCACGAACGGTGCTTGCCATGGTTGCGGTGGTCGTCGCGCCCACTGGCCTCCCCGGTGCCTGGGAGGATGCCCAGGAGCTTCCTCGTCGTCCACTACTTCGCCTACGTGCCTTGAATTGAGTCGGACCGCGCCGTACACTCGCCATCGCCGGTCTTCTTCGCCACGGCCGTCGCAACTCGTCATTGGGCTCGACATATCCAGCCACCCCCGCACTCCCTAACCTTGTCCATGAGCTCCACGGTGAGCTTCTCCGCCGATTCCCCTCTTCCCCAACCTTGATTCGGTCGCCGTTTGCCGTCCCCGAGCACATCCGAGCTCGCGTGTACGCGTACATACGTGTGCGTGAGCTGCTGCTGCTTAACAGCCATCTGTTGCTGCTCCGTACTGCTGCCACCGCGCGCCCGCCTTGACCTTGCCTCCGCGTGCCGCTGCTCGCCGGCCATCGCCTACTGCCGCCCCTACTGCCGCCCACGGCCTAGCGCTTGCCCTGTTGCTGCCTTCTGCTGCTGCCGTTGCTTAGCTGCTTAGCTTCTGCCGCTGCTGCTATTGCTTAGTTGCTGCCGCTGCTATGCGCTACTTTGCTGCTGCTAATGGCCATGGCGGCCATGCTGTGGGTGTGCACAGCCACACTGGCCGGGCGTGCAAATTAGATTAGGACTAATTGGTAGTACTAGTTAGGTTGGTTGCTACACTATGACGTATGGACCCCATTTGATCAGGTTATTTTTTTTATTAGATTAGATATAGCCTTAAGACAGGTGGGCCACCCTCTAATAAGCCTAATTAGAAATTAACTAAACACTGTTAAAATATTACAGGGTATGACAACCGGGTCCCACAGGACCTTTGACTGGTCAACCGTGGACCAGTCAAGTGCTTGGTCAGCAGTTGATTGGACCCACAGGTCAGCTTCACTAGTGCACCTCTGGTGCACTGCACCGGGTGCACCTAGTTTTTAACTGTTGATTTTCGAAATAAAAAACAAGTAAGAAAATTTAGAAAATCATTTAAAACTTTGAAAAATCATAGAAAATAAACCGTAGCTCGGATAAAAATGTTTTCTACATGAAAGTTGCTCAGAACGACGAGACGAATTTGAATACACGGTCCGTTCGTCCGCTGCACGTCTCTAGCATAGCGAACACACAACTTTCCTCCTTCGATTCATTTGTCCGAAAATGCAAAACACCGGGGATATTTTCCCGAATGTTTTCTCCCTTTCACCGGTATCACCTCATACCGCGTTAGGGCACCCCTAGCACCGCTACTTGTCATGTCATGCATCGCTATGCATCTGTTTGCATTATATTCATTGTTTCTTCCCCCTTTTCTCTCCCATAGACTACAAGACTGACGCCGCTGCTGGTGCCCCGATCGACTACGCTGTTGACGACCCCTCTCTCTTGCCAGAGCAACCAGGCAAGCCCCCCCCTTGATCACCAGATATCGCCTATTCATCTCTACTGCTTGCATTATAGTAGTGTAGCATGTTACTGCTTTCCGTTAATCATATCCTGATGCATAGACTGTCATTGTTGCTACAACTGTTGATACCTTACCTGCAATCCTACATGCTTAGTATAGGTTGCTAGTACTACATCAGTGGCCCTACATTCTAGTCCGTCTGCCATGCTATACTATCGGGCTGTGATCACTCGGGAGGTGATCACGGACATATGATATATACTTATACTGTTACATTACTTATGGTACTTTTCGAAGATGGGGGCTGAAGGGGTAGGTGGCTCCATCCCGGTAGAGGTGGGCCTGGGCTCCCGACGGCCCCCGACTGTTACTTTGTGGTGGAGCGACAGGGCAGGTTGAGCCACCTAGGAGAGAGGTGGGCCTGGCCCTGGTCGGCGTCCGTG